GATTCAATATATCGATTCTCGCAGGGAACGCCCTGCGAGTTACAAATGTTTGTAAACGAGGATGGTAAATACGAAGACTGTGAACTCGACCACATGGTTTCTAACCAAACTATGTGGGTACGATTAACAAAGGCGCGCGTATGGTTGTTCTCAACCTTGAAAGAAGAAACTTTGCGGGTTACGTGCGAAAATAAGTCGGAAAGAATGGAGGTCATATCCGGAGTCGGGGAAATAGAGCTGCCGGAGCATTGCGAGTTGACCACAGCAAGTATCATAGTGCGAACTAATCAAGTAGTTAAGGGCGTAGGAATAAATACGTTCTTATTACGTTTTAATATCACGGCAAGAAAAAGGGAACATGTGAGTAATAACGGCGTGGAACTGAAAAATGTAACACGGAACAAAGTGCAGTTGCGATCATTAGAGAAACAGATTATATATTGACACGACTTACGGAAGAAAATGATCTTGCTGATTACACGTTTTATAAACACCCGCACTTTATTCTTCCGACTTTGGTAAGCGTAACCTTGGCTGTTGTTACAAACGTGAGTTTATGTTTTTGCAAAATTACGTTGATAAAATCGGCTGTTACGAACCAGTGCAAGGTGTATTGCAATATTAGAACAAATTAGTTTTATTAACAAAACGTTGTGACTTTATTGTTGAAGTTTTCTTCAGTTTTACACTAATAAATATACATAAATATACATAATAAATATACATATTTGGACAAATTACTTTATATAATTAAGTGAAAAATTCGTTGTAGTTACATATACATACTAAATTAACAAAAAATTATAACTATGTCACATTTTTACAATTTGAGCTGTGCAATTACAATTAAATGATCGTTAGATTGTTATATGTCAGGATTTTAAAATGTGTCTGCCTATCATGGTTATGTGCGACTGACTGTGACTTATTCTTGTCAACTTTTTCACTGTGTTTGACAACTCCCTCTATTTGTGTGTAAATAGAGTTATGTTTCATGATTGATTGTATCGAGAATAGGTAAGTAAATGTCATCTAGCGATTCTATATCTGTTATTAGATATAAACTGTGTTTTTGTGTCTTTATGTGTAGTGTTTCCGATACGAGTCTTTTATAAAAATTTGATTCAACATCTAGAACCTTAATATTGTAACGGTTCTACTTTTCGTGAGACTTTTGTTCCGTTTCTATTAAGTTAATTTTTATGTAACTGCTGCGGAGTAGCTCGTCGAAATCAGGGAAAGGTAAGAAACAGAGTGAACTCGGTAATTTAAAGTAACAAACGAATAAGATTTATTCAAATAAAACAAACAGGATTAAAAATAATATGTACAAAATAACGAAAAGAAAATAATAGAATAAACGGAAGAATTTACGGTGCGGTGATTCTCAAAACGATGTGTGAGAAAGTCACGTTTTTAGCCGGTTTGTTCAATTTTCCGGAAAGAAAATATAAAAAAACTAAGATATGTACACAGGCGGTGATTTAAACGGCGCGACTCGGTCAAGGCTGTTCAGGGGCCTTGGCTAGATGTTTTGTTGCTTGAAGCGCAAGATCCGCGGTAACGCTCGAAAACGCGTCTTATCGCGAGAAACAGCCTTTATCGCGGGGAAAGTCTCTTTTTCTAGGGAAAGAGAGATTTATATCATGTCGCGTTACAAACTCTATTTATCGGTTCTTGCGGAAAAATATTTACCACGCCGGAAAGTCACTTTCTTCTGAAAGTAGACTTTTTCGTGCGGCCGGTTCTTCGGCGCTAGGCTTTCTGATTTTCGCCCTTTGCTTATTCCCCTGGAGCGGCTCCAACGGAACGAGATGGTTGGCCTGACGGAGAAAACGCTACTCTCCACGCATGGTTTCAATGGAAAACAGGCCGGCGTCCCCGGCGGAGAATCGTGAGATTCCCGGAGGGTTTTCTAGCGGGAAGATAGCCGGTTTACCCGGCGGAGAATCGGAAGATTCCCCGAGCGGAGCGGAAAGAGAGCCGGTTTTCCCGGCGGAGAGTCGAAAGATTCCCCGAGCGGAGCGGAAAGAGAGCCGGTTTTCTCGGCGGAGAATACAAGATTTCCCCTAGCGCGGAGCGGATGCCGGTTTACCCGGCGGAGAATGCAAGATTCCCCCTGAAGCGGAGCGGATGCCGGTTTACCCGGCAGAGAATACAAGATTCTCCCTGGAGCGGAACGGATGCCGGTTTACCCGGCAGAGAATCTAAGATTCCCTCGGAGCGGAGCGGATCTCTGAGTTGCTGTCGGTTTGCCCGACCGAGAAGAAACTTTCCTGAGTGCTACTCGTAGGGCGTGTTCCGTTTGACCACAGT